TCACGTCCCGGATCCGGTGGCTTAAAACTCACGCCGGGTGCATGTGCATGTGTGCCCAAGATCCCAAGAGGAGAATGGAGGAGAAGGGATTGTGGCGTGACCATCCCCCCTGGGGGGTGATTTCTCGCTTTCTGTCTCTATGTCTCTCTCTGTCTGTCTGGCAAGCGCACGCGCCCTATAGCAAAAACCTCTCCAAAAAAAAAAAAAAAAGTAAGTGTTAAAGACCATTCTCCTCATTAATTTAACTTAAAGAGACTATAAAGGCTGATTATCAATGTTGATTCACTTAAGGGTAACTTGTTATTCTAAGTACTGAGTGAATACATCACAGCTGATCCTTTGCATTGTCCTCCATTTAAAATTGGCTTTATATAAGAAAAATGAATCTAGGTATCTAACAATATTTGAATATTTGAGTGCTAGTAGTATTCAAATATTTTTATGCCTCGTGTAATTTTAATCATATTATTTGTCCATTATTGAGTATGACAAGAACAGAAACTTCATAAAATAGCACTGTGTGATATCTCTTATATTACAACTTTTTATTGTACACTATTAGTGTGATTTATTTGCTTAATTTAAAATTAATATATTTTTCTTTCAAAATACCAAATGTACTTAATCAATGGGTAGCTTGTATCAGAGCAAACTGTTGGTATAGGGTCATACTCCAGAAATAATTCAACTTGTGAGGTACTTTTGTTAGTTTTTTAAGCACTTATAGTGCTAGTACTGATATATCACCAAAGCATTTATAGAACAAACACATGTCACAGCATCTGTGTCCTCCATGCTAAATAAATCTGAATTTGAGCCTCGGTTAGATACAAGAGAGACCATCCATAGATATATGAGCTTTTCACATGCCATCAAGTGCAGTACAGATGTGGGTTACTGTTACTGCTTAACTCATCCGCCTACTAGGAAACTCTCTTAAAAACCCAGTCACCTGTGTACATTCCCCATGTGTATGGGAATGTTTGACTCCCATATTTACAAGGAAATCAGCTGTGTTTTTGTGACTTTGGTCATCTCATCTCTTTCTCTCAAAGAACAGAAGAAAAGAAGCCTATCAGAATAGTAGCAAATGATACGGGAGCATTTAGACCTGAAAATTGATAGGAACTTTACAACAATTTGTTGTAACTGATAGCGTGAAAGGGATGGAGCCACAGAGATAAATCGATACATATAGTGAAATATTAGCAGGGAGAATCATGTCCATCAGTGTTTTGCCAGTGCGTCCATAGCTCTGTGGCATGGTTCTATTCAGAGCCTATTAGATCTGGGAGAAAGAACAGTTTTTGTTTTGTGCTTGTTATGTTTAGCTTATATGTTTTGTTTTTTTCTGATAGGATAGTAGTTAAGACTTACTAAAATACATATGTTTTCTGAAGCTCATGTGAGGTGATGGATGTTCTCCTTTGGGTTGCATCACTCTGTATTTTAGGACAAGCTTCCTGATGACCAGTATCAGGAGAAGACAGCAATGGACCTAGCAGCTGAACAGCTACGCCTTTGGCCTACTCTAAGCAAGTCAACTCAGCAGGAGCTGGTGCAACATGAGGAAAGCACTGTCTTCAGTCAGGCCATTCACTTTGCAAACCTCATGGTCAACCTGCTAGTGCCTCTAGACTCAAGCAAAAATAAGCTCCTGAGAACATCAGCACCAGGCGACTGGGAGAGCGGGAGCAACAGCATTGTCACAAACAGGTACCAAATGTGGACAGAGACCCCTCCTACTCTTCTTGGGACCACTCTTGGCTAAGCAGAAAATAGAAAGTATTCTGGCATAGACTGCTATACATATTTTAAAAATTAACCATTTTCCCCCACCTTTGGACTTGCTCAGTTCTTTATTAAAAGCTTCATTCCATAGAGCCTGAAGGTGACGGGCAGTAAATGCCACTCTCTGAGAGGCTATCCCACCTAGGGAGGTTCTGGTTCAAGTCCAGAGACCTCCCGGAGTATGCTGGGCATATGCTGTCCCATGACCCAGGACCGGCTGAAGGCTGGAGGTGGGGAAAGATCACAGCGCCAAGGCCCTGTTAGGAGTACACTCTTTTTCTTTCTCCTGGAATAAATAAACTTAAAAAGAAAAAAAAAAAAAAAGATTCACTTCATCCTACTATTCTTAACCACCTCCCACACTTTCCTCATGACCTAATTTTCCAAATATCTCATCCACTACTGATCCAGCCCTTCAGTGTTACTTTTCTGCCAAACCTATTTACAGAAAATACAGAAAAGTTACTCGTGAGCGCTTCCTTGCCAGAGTGGTCATTTGTTTCTCAACCCTCCACATCCTGACTCATTTTCATATATTTGCTTATTATGTGTTTTCTCTGTCCATTGTTTTTATGTCTTTGTATATAGTAAATAATTGATTGAACAAGTGATTTAATGACTGAATAAATGAACTGATCACTCCCAACAGTGGGGAAATTCTGTACTCTTTAGGACTTCAGTGATGGGTGCAGCAACATCTTGGTAGTTCTTCTAGCTTTTATAAATTCTCAGGCTCTTTCAGGTAGCTACTCTTCTCTTCCATTCTCAGTTCCTCCATCAGTTCTTCATATTCCGTAGGGAAGTCCATCCATAAGCTTAAATCTCTCCCCAATCTCTCAGTCTCTCTTTCCTAGCTGTCTGATTTGGGGCAAGTCATGTGACTCAGATTCTGGACTTTCAGGCTAGGCAACTTGGAATGAGCATTTTGTACTACATTCAACTGCACAGATCTTTTATTTCTGCCTAGTTCATCCTTTGGTAATTTTAGGTAACCAACATAGCCTAGGCCCTTATCGCCTAAAGCTATAATGGTTAACAATAGTCTCTTACTTGTTTCACCTTTACACTTATTTCTAACAAAAAGTCCAGGAAGCAATTAGCTGTTTCATTTTGTTATTCCTCTCTTTCTATTGCCAGAAGAATCTTCACAAAATGATGGTTTCACATTCCTTTACTGCTTTAATCCCATGAGACTATTTTAAATTCTATACTCTGCTCAATTTTTAAGATCTTCCATAATCTCTCTTTTAATTTATTTCTCCCTTCCATTCAAGTTGATCTCCATTATGATTATGACCAACAATAACTATATTTTTCTTTTCTTTTAAAGTTGTCATCTTAGATGACCATGTTCTCTCAAAGTCTCCATAGTAAGCAACTAAGGCACCTAAAAAAAAAATTTTTTTTTGAGAAAGAGATTTTTGCCATAGAGTGCATGTGCTCTCCAGAAAGACAGAAAGTGAGAAATCACCCCCAGGGAGGATGGCCACGCTGCAATCCCTTCTCCTCCATTCTCCTCTAGGGATTTTGGGCATGTACACACACATGCCCAGCATGAGTTTTAGGCCACCAGATCCAAGACTCAAACTGCAGTTGACTGCATGGGAGTCCAGGAACGTAATCATTACACCATCTGTTGGTCCCAAGGCACCTAAAATTCTTCAGTGCTTTGGGATGATATGCTATGGCCATATTATCTGTTAGCTTTACTTTAACACAAATGTGCTTGGCTTTGGAGAAGAGAGAAAAGAGTGGATTAGAACAGACAACTGGGTCTTTTCCATGATTAGAAGTCTAATTTGTTGAATAGTAGGAGCCAAGTAAGTAAGAGGGTTTGAACTTTCATGTCTGCTCCATTTTATATTTGTTCCCTTCTTTTGCATGAAGAATTACGGCTTTGAAGTAACCAAACAGTTATGGTTTACTTGGGGAGAGAAATACTGACAAGATGAGGGCTCATATGACAGTTTGGTCTTCCTATACAGAGAACATGCTACTTGCTGAAAAAATTTTTTTCACTTTGCCTGCCAGGACACATGTTAACCAGTTGCCAAAGACAGCCATATTACTCTGCCTGGCTCTACATAGTAATTAACTTGAGAGGACAAGTTTTTTAAGAAGGTTCAACTAGCAGATAATAAAACAAAAGAGTCTTTTACTTCATTTTCTATAGTTCCTGAGTTCATTTTAGGAAGGTTTCCTCACAGAAACAAATCTGGGTCCAAAGGATAATGCTTAACAGTAGTTTCCAAAAACAAGCAAATAGAACAGTGTGTTTCAGGGGCCAGGAGGTGGCATGGTGGTTAAGGTGCTGGACTCTCATGGGGCCGACAGCAGTTTGAGTCCCAGGCCAGGTGGCTTGCTCCCTTTCTTTCTGTCTCTTTCTGGTCAAATTAAAGGAAATAATAAATAAAATTAAATAATTCTAAAAAAATGGACAGATTGTTTCACCACTGTCAAAGGACCTATGGTGTTAGGTGAGCCTCCTTGAGTCTATGTAGGATCTTCAAAAAGTTTATAGAAAAATGGAATCGAATACAAGTTTCTTCTGGTATAAAAAATGTTCAAATCCATGCATAGTTTGTTCATAATATGTGTATTCCATGGGCTCTTTGAAGAGCACATATACATCTTGAGTATATGTTTCCATTTTTTTGGAGGGGTGGGGGGAGAGGTTTTTGCTATAGGGCGCTTGCACTCACCAGAAAGACAGAGAGACAGAAAGTGAGAAATCCCCTCCCGGGGGGGGATGGCCATGCCACAATCCCTTCTCCTCCACTCTCCTCTGGGGATCTTGGGCATGCATGCACATGTGCCTGGTGTGAGTTTAAGCCACCGGGTCCGGGACTCGAACCGCAGTTGGCTACATGGGAGTTCTGCGACACAGCCATTACGCTAACTGCTGGTAGCAGAGTATATGTTTCTTTCAGCAAATTTCAGTTGGAATGAAAATTGACTGACAGTCATCATTTGTTGCATTTGGGTACTGACAGTGATTTCTTTTCTTGACTGTCTTAGTATTGCAGGAAGTGTGGCTGAGAGCTACGATACAGAGAGTGGGTTTGAAGATTCAGAGAATAACGACATTGCCAATTCTGTTGTACGGTTCATTACTCGATTTATTGACAAAGTTTGTACAGAGAGTGGAGTCACTCAGGATCATATCAAGAGCCTTCATTGCATGATACCAGGTAATCACTCTGCAGCTAGGAAAGAATCAGAACATTGGAACTCAAAGAGTTTCAGCATAAAACTGGTAATGCTTGTCTTGTATTTCATTTAACCGTGGTATTTATTGACTCTCTGGGTTTTTTTTTTTTAATGTTTTCTAATTATGGTAAAATATTTATAACATGAAATCTGCCATGTTAACCAGTTTTAAATGTATAGTTTGGTGGCATTAATTACATTCAGTGCTGTACAGCCATCACCACTATTTCCAAAACGCTTTCATTACCCCAAATGGGCATGCTGCCTATTTTTCCTACCCCTCAGCTCCTGGTAACCTCTTATCTCCTATTATAGATATTTAACTGGAATCATAATTCTATTTATATTTTTGTAATTGACTTCTTTGATTTAGCATAATGTCCTCAAAGTTCATCATATTGTAGCATGTATCAGAATGTCATTCCTTTCTATAGCTAAAAATATTCCATTTATGCATATACCACATTTTGTTCATACTTCTGTTGATGGACATTTATTCTTGTTGTTTCTACGTTTTGGTAATTGTCAATAATGCTACTCTGAGCTATTGACATACAGGTATCTATTGAGTCCTTATTTTTAGTTCTTCTGGATATAGGAGTAGAATTGCTGGGTAATCTATGTTTAATTTTTTGAGCAATCACCAAATTTTAATTAGTTTTTTATTAAAAATATTCTGATTTTTTAAAAATTCTACTTGTTTTGTGCTGTTTCATTTTGAATACTCTGACTCATCCTAGGAATTGTAGCTATGCACATAGAGACCCTGGAAGCGGTACATCGGGAAAGCAGAAGACTTCCACCTATACAGAAGGTAATTATTCCGGGCTACAGCATATAACATTTCTCCTTCAGATAGGAGCAATGACACCCAGCCATGGTGGCACAGGTAGTGGGGTACCACCGTGCAGTGCTGGAGCCATGTAGGAAAGCCTAGGGTTCAGATCCCAGGATGATCTGTGCACCAGATGTACCCACACTACTGGCTGTCTGAAAGGCTTGGGGCAGGATCATAGCACAGCAGAACCCCATGAGGGTCCTGCTTAAATTGCTTTAAAGCAATTACTGTATAAATGCCATGTCCCTGAATCTGGCTGTACATCTCAAGCAACCAGGAAGTTGATTAAAAATTTAGAGTCCTAAACCCTCAACTCAGCCTCCTGAATTGGATGCCCTGGGACATGGCCTGGGAATCCGTATTTTAACAAACCTCCCCAATGATTATTTTGCAGCTAGTCTGACATCGGCCTGTGGACTAGGGTTCCTTACCTTACTCCCACTCTTGAAAGAAAAGAATGAATAAGCTTTTAAAAAAATATTTTTTAAGGCAGCAATAGACTTTTGTGCTCCGAAAGTACCTTCTCCTAATCTTTTACAGAGACCAGCTCCAGTTTTAATGATACATCGGGGTTTCAGAGGAATTTGTCACATAGAACCTTACAGTGAAATAGGAACAGTATCTTTTCTTGGATTCAACAAAGGAGTAATAATAACCTCTTGTTGAGTCTACTTTTATAGATAGGGTGTAAATTATGAACAGTTCTAACTTCTAAGCAACCCAGGTTTTTATACCCTGCCTACTACCCCCATGCCCTCAAAAGGTTTTAAGGTAATTCCTATAAAAACACCAGGTTCCTGAATCTGGCTCTACATCAAAAGCAATTCCTGAATTGGAGTACCCTGGGACATTGCCTAGGAATCTGTGTTTTTTAAGAATTATTTTATTTTATTTATCATTATTATTTTAATATTTCCAGAGAGAGACAGAGAGAGAGAGGAGAGAGAGAGAGAAAGGGAAAGTGAGAAAGCAAGCCTCCAGGTCTGGGACTCAAACCACAGTCAGCCATGTGGGAGTCCAGCACCCTTATCCACCATGCCACCTGCCAGCCCCAGGGAATCTGTATTTTAGCAAACCTCCCCAGTGATTATTTTGCAGCTAATCTAACATGAGTCAGTGGACTAGGGTTCAGGGTCCTCTCACCTTTATGCCACAACTATTAAAAATAAATCCAAAGTAGAGATTGGAAACCAGGTAGGTAAGAAAGATAATTCTATCAAAAACCTGAGACAGGGAACCAGCAGTTAGCGTAATGGCTATGTCGCTGGATTCCCACGTAGTCGACCGCGAGTCCCGGATCCGGTGGCTTAAAACTCACGCCAGGCGGGTGTGCGTACGTGCCCAAGATCCCGAGAGGAGAATGGAGGAGAAGGGATTGCGGCGTGACCATCCCCCCTGGGGGGTGATTTCTCGCTTTCTGTCTCTATGTCTCTCTCTGTCTGTCTGGCAAGCGCACGCGCCCTACAGTGAAAATCTCTCCCAAAATAAATAAATAAATAAATAAATAAATAAATAAATAAAACCTGAGACACATACTTTAGCTTTACTTAAGCTTCCTGGAGCTAGCAAAAAAGAATAGTGCTGATTTATGTCACTTTTGTTGCTTGGTAAAAATGTAAACATTTTAGACCTTCAGGAGAAATGTATTGTTTTCTTTACTCCTAAACCCTTCAGCAGAGTGTCATGTAGTTCCTTCAGTAAAGAATACTGAGGCAAGATTTCCAAAGATGTGTAAATCTTCATTACTTGACCAAAAAGGACAGGGTGTTTGTTTGTTTGTTTGTTTAGAGAGATTTTTGCACATGTGCTTACTGGAGAGACAGACACAGAGAGACAGAAAATGAGAAATCCCCCCAGGGGTGGATGGCTACGCCACAGTCCCTTCTCTTCTATTCTCCTCTCTGGACTTTAGGCACACACACACATATGCACCTGGTCTGAGTTTCAAGCTGCCAGGTCTGGGGCTTGAACTGCAGTCGACCATATGGGAATCCAGTGACATAATCATTACACCATTGGCTGGTCCCAAATAGATCTTCTTAAAAACTCATCTATTGGTTTAAGTACATTTTTTTTCAATTTTTTAAAATAATAATGCTTGTTATGTAAAATTCAAGCATTAAAATATCATACACAATTTGTAAAGTATAAGCCCCCCTATAGTCTTCTCTACTCCACCGCCACCGTTAACCATGATAGCACCACCTTTAACAGTTCAGTTCATATTCTTTATTTCTTTCTCTGTCTTAAAATGAAATTGTAAAGTGAATACTAGTTTCCATATTGTGTTTTTTCCTTAACGCTGTATGAGGGTACTTCAAAAAGTTCATAGAAAAATGGTATTAAAGAATAAGTGGGGGGACCAGCAGTTAACGTAATGGCTATGTCGCTGGACTCCCATGTAGTCGACCGCGGTTCGAGTCCCAGACCTGGTGGCTTGAACTCACGCCAGGTGCGTCCATGCCCAGGATCCCGAGAGGAGAATGGAGGAGAAGGGATTGCGACGTGGCCATCCCCTCTGGGGGGTGATTTCTCGCTTTCTATCTCTCTGTCTCTCTCTGTCTGTCTGGCGAGCGCACGCACCCTATAGCAAAAACCGCTCCAAAAAAAGAAAAAAAAAAAAAAGAAGAAGAAGTGGGGACCAGCAGTTAGCGTAATGGCTATGTCGCTGGACTCCCATGTAGTTGACTGTGGTTCAAGTCCTGGACCCAGTGGTTTAAACTCACGCCGGGCGTGTGTGCGTGCCAAGATCCCTAGAGGAGAATGGAGAAGGGATTGCAGCGTGGCCATCCCCCCAGGGGGGGTGATTTCTCACTTTCTGTCTCTCTGTCTCCCTCCGTCTTTCTGGCAAGCACATGCGCCCTATAGCAAAAACCTCTCCAAAAAAAAAAGAAGAAATGTGTATGTATATATATATATATATTATACACACAATATACATGTGTGTGTGTGTGTGTATAGAGAGAGAGAGAAATTTTTGCTATAGGGTGCATGCCCTATAGAGACAGAGAGAAAAAGCAAGAAATCACCCACAAGGAGGGATGGCCATGCTCCAATCCCTTCTCCTCCATTCTCCTCTCGGGATCTCAGGCACACATGCACACACACCTGATGTGAGATTTAAGTCACCTGGTCCAGGATTCAAACCATGATCAACTACATGGGAGTCCAGCCACATAACCATTAAGCCATCTTCTGGTCTCAAGAACAAGTATATTTTGGTGCAAAATATTTTTGAAGTCTGTGCATAGTTTTTTTGGTTTGTTTTCTTTTTTTTTTTTAATAATATACATTTCCCATGTACTTTCAAAGACTTCTTTACATTTTGGATATCTTTCTATGTTAACATATAGCGATCAATAGCATCTTTTCCAAAAATTGCAAAATTTCCAATGAGCCATTTGAGTTACTTCCAAAGTTTTTCCTGTTAACAAGCAGTGTTAATAAACATTCTTTTCCTACTTGGACACACAAACTTTATTTCCACTTTTCCCCAAACTTTTTTCATTGGCATACCTGGGAAGTCTGGCCCAAGTTTTTTAGGTCTTCAACTGAAAACATAAACTTGGTCTAAGTGTTGGAAACCCCATAAGAGTTGTATTTAAAGAATTGTCTCTGTTTTTTAGCCCAAGATTCTCAGACCATCTCTGCTGCCAGGAGAAGAAATTGTTTGTGAAGGTCTTCGAGTCCTGCTAGATCCTGACGGAAGAGAAGAAGCCACTGGAGGCCTTCTCGGAGGCCCTCAGCTCCTGCCAGCAGAAGGAGCACTGTTCCTCACCACGTACAGAATTCTGTTCAGAGGGACTCCCCATGACCAGCTAGGTATGCCTATAACATACCATTGGAACATGGTACATGAGGTTTTGTGCTTAGTGATTTGCAGATTTCAAACCCAAGGTAAACTTTTTTTTAATTTGCTGGAGGATGTCCGTGCTCGCCCATGAGAGACAGAGAGAGAGAAAAATTTAAAAAAAAAAAAAGAAAAAAGCCCCTCCTATATAGGATGATCACACTGCATTCCCTTCTTCTCCATTTCTCCCTCCTTTCAGGATTTTAGGCATGCATGCACATGTGCCCAGCATGTTTCTCAAGCCACTGGGTCTGAGACTCAAACTGCGCATTCAGCTATGGAAGATCTAGTCGCCCTAACCATCGGGCCACCTACTTGGCCCCCAAATTACACCGTAGTCACATAAATAATTAGAGGGAACAGTCTCGTTTGTCAAGCTAATGACAATTTGTGTCACAGAGTTTTACTTAAAGAATGAAGAGAGTCTTCTAAACAACAAATCTAAGGTTCCTTTGCTGAAATTGTCATATTTTCATGAGGTAGAATGCTGTGACCTAGTGATAGTCACCGTATCTACATGCTGTCAGCTGCTGATTTGCCTTACTTAGCTTTCTGAATCCTACACTTAACATCAAAGCTAAGGCTTTCTAGACACATGATCATTTTTTGGCAGAGTGTGTTAAACATCACAAGGTTGTACCGTAGAAACTAGACACACTTAATAGACAACTTAACTTCTCTTTTACTCACAAGACTCCCATAACTTCTATTTCTATTTTTCTCCAACTCTATACACCACTCTGTATTAGAAAGGAAGGTATGCCTTAACCAAAAGTAATCTACATTATCTTTTCTATTGACATAATTGTACATACTTGTGGTATATATAAGAATACAATGTACAATGACTAAATCAGGGTAGTTAGTATATCTGTCATCTTAACCATTTGTCATTACTTTGTGTGGGGAACATTCGAAGTCTTACTTTTTAGTTATGTGAGATATATGGTAAATTGTTTTCTTTTTTAAAAAATTAGCTATTTAATTTTATTTATGTATTTATTTATTTTTAATTGATCAGAGACAGAGAGGGAGAGAAAGCCGCCAGGTCCAGGATTCAAACTACAGTCAGCCATATGGGAGTCCAGTGCCTTAACCAGCACACCACCTGCTGGCCCCACAGTAAATTGTTAACTATATTCGCCCTACTGCATTTTCATAACACTGAACATTGTTCCTCCTATTTATCTATTTTGTTTTCCCATGAACAAATATCTCTCTATCCCCATTTCCCTCTACCTTTCCCAGTCTCTGGTATTCTTCTACTGGGTCATTGGAAGTCATGATGAATTTTTACATAGAAAAAGATGTTAAGGGGCCAGCAGGTGGTATGGTGGTTAAGGACTTTGGACTCCCACATGGCTGACCGCAGTTTGAGTCCTGGACCTGGTGGCTTGCTTTCTCACTTTCCCTCTCTCTCTCACTCTGTCCCTCTCTGGTCAAAATTAAAATAAATAAAGCTAAATAAAATAATTCTTTAAAAAAGAAAACTACATTACAACTTTTCTGATGACCTAATATCTTCTGCTTCTACAAGGTCATCCTTTTCAGTTTCCACATCTGAGTGAGAACATGTCGTAGTTTCTCTTTTTGTGCCTGGTTTATTCCACCTAACATAGTGTCTTCCACTCATACATGTTACCTCAAATAACCAGATTTTATTATTTTTAATGGCTGAATAGTATTCCATGTTTTAAATTTGTGTGTGTGTCTGTGTGTGTGTGTACATATCATTTGTATATAAATATCACACATATGTGTGTGTATTGATATATATATATATACACATATATATATATCACATTTCCTTTCAGTTTTCTTAAAATTGCTATAGTCTCTATATAAAATATTCTTATTGGGGCCACCACGTGGCATTGTGGTTAAGGTTCCAGACTCCCATATTACTGACCATAGTTCAAGTCCCAGACCTGACAACTTGAAACTCACCTGGTGCATGTGCATACATGTCCGAAATCCTGAGAGGAGAATAGAGGAGAAGGAATTGCAGCATGGCCATCCCTGCTAGAGGATGATTTCTCACTCTCTGTCTCTCTGGTGAGCGTTTACACCCTATAGCAAAACTCCTTCAAAAAAAATATTTTTCTGGACAAGCAGATAGCATAATGGTTCAAGTCCTGGACCCAGCAGCTTAAAATTCATGCCAGGCGCATGTGCTTGCATGCCCAAGATCCTGAGAGGAGAATGGAGGAGAAGGGATTGCAGTGTGGCCATCCACCTGGGGAGCAGGGGTGATTTCTCGCTTTCTGTCTCTCTGTTTCTCGCCCTCTCTGGCGAGCGCATATGCCCTATGGCAAAAACCTCTAAATATATACATTTCTTATTCATGTGAAAAACACATAGGTTTTGGGCAAAACTATTGGACTCCAGATCAGAAGACTTTGATTTGGGTTACTGTTGACCAATCTTATGTAAGTTACCCAACCTGTCTGGATTTCTATTCCCTCTTTTTTTCCCAAAGAATTATTTATAGGGCCAGCAGGTGTCATGACAGTTAAAGGCTCTAGATTCCCACATGGCCAACTGGGGTTCAAGTCCTGGACCTGGTGGCTTGCTTTCTCACTTTCCCTCCCCCCCTTCTTTTTCTGGTCACATTAAAAAATAAAAAATAATAATAATAAATAAAGCTGAGTAAAAATAAAAGAATTATTTATTTAATTTTATTCAATATATTATTTTAACTTATCAGAGAGAGAGACAGAGAAAGAGAGAGAAAAGGAAGAATGAGAAAGCAAGCCTCCTGGTCTGGGACTCAAACCACAGTTGGCCATGTCAGAATCCAGTGCCTTAATCACCATACCACCTCCTGGCCCATTTTCTTCTCTTAAAAAAGTATACAACTGGACTTTTATTTGTTTATTTACTTATTTTATTTTTATTTTTTAATCATTAAGTCAGGGTTCTCAACTTTGTTTTTGTTGTTTGTTTGTTGAGAGAGATTTTTGGGCTCATGCACTTGCTGGAGAGAAAGAGACAGAAAGCAAGAAATGCCCCCCCCACCCCCAGTGGGGATGGCCATGCCGCAATCCCTCTCCTCCATTCTCTCAGGATTATGGGCACACGTGCACATGCGCCCAGCATGAGTTTAAGCTGCCAGGTCCAGGACTCAAACCACAGTTGACTACGTGGGAGTGTAGTCAACATCCAGCATCATACCATTACACCACCTGCTGGTCCCTGTACACATTTGTTATAATCTGGGAAGCTTTAAAAAAAAAAAATACTGGAATCAGCAGGTGTTATGGAGGTTAAGGCAGCTGGATCCCACATGGCAAATCTGTGGTTCATATCCTGGACCAGGCAGCTTGAAAAAAATACCCAACATGTGTCATACATGCCCAAAATCCCAAGAGGATAATGGAGAAGGGATTGCAGCATGACCATCCTCCCGGGGAGGGGGGGATTTCTCACTTTCTCTCTCTCTCTCTCTTTCTCTCCTGAGTACACGTGCCCTATATAAAAAAAACTAAAAACAAACAAAAACAGTTCCTCTGCCTAACCTACAAACAGTTGAATTAGAATCTGAAGCAGCGGAAGTAGGGAGACCCAGGCATCTGTATGTTTCTTAAGTCCACAAGTGATTGTGATGAATACTGAGGATTAAGAACCAATGGGTGGGGGACTAGCAGTTAGAGTAATGAGTATGTTGCTGGACTCCCATGTGGTCGACTGCGGTTCGAGTCCCAGACCCAGTGGCTTAAACTCAGGCCAGGCACGTGTGCGTGTGTGCCCAGGATCCAGAGAGGAGAATGGAGGAGAAGGGATTGTGGCATGGCCATCCCCCCAGAGGGTGATTTCTCGCTTTCTTTCTCTCTGTCTCTCTCTGTCTTTCTGGCGAGTGCATGCGCCCTATAGCAAAAACCTCTCCAAAAAATAAAAAAAAGAACCAGTGGGTGGGACTAGCAGATGACATAATGGTTATATCACTAGATTCTCACATAGTCAACCACAGTTCATGTCCCAAACCTGGCAGCTTAAAACTCGTCTCAAGTGTGTGTGCATGCATGCCCAAAATTCCAAAAGGAGAATGGAGAAGAGAGTGCAGTATGGCCATCTCCCCTCAGGGGTAATTTTTCACTTTTTGTCTCTCTCTTTCTCTCAGGTGAGCGCATGTGCCCTGTAGCAAAAAAAAAAAAATCCCTCTTAAAAAAGGAAAAAAAGAGCGAATCAATGGGCAAGAACCAGCAGATGGCATAGTAGTTACATTGCTGGACTCCCACATGGCTGGCTACAGTTCAAGTCCCAGACCCGGTGGCTTGAAAATCACGCTGGGCTCATGTGTGTGCATGCCCAAGATCCCAGGAGGAAAATAGAGAAGGGATTGTGGCATGACCATCTCCCTCAGGGGATGATTTCTCACTTTTCTTCTCACTGTTTCTGTCTGTCTCTCTCCAGCACACGCATTCACCCTAAGACAAAAAACTCTCTCAAAAAAAGGGGGAGAGGGGCAAAATGGTCACTAAAGTTCTTTCCTCCTCTGAAATTATTTTTTTTCTTTCTTTTTTTGGAGAGGTTTTTGCTATAGGGCGTGTGTGCTCGCCAGACAGACAGAGAGAGACAGAGAGATAGAAAGCAAGAAATCACCCCCCAGGGGAGATGGCCACACTGCAATCCCTTCTCCTCCATTCTCCTCTCGGGATCTTGGGCACGCACGCACACGCACCCGGCGTGAGTTTAAACCACCGAGTCTGGGACTCAAACCGCAGTCAACCACGTGGGAGTCCAGCGACATAGCCATTACGCTAACTGCTGGTCCCCTTTCTCTGAAATTACTAGTATATTATTCATTCAGTAGCATTTGATGAAAGTGCACTGTGAACTGTACATTTTGTTGGACAGTGGAATTCAGATCTACAAAATCTTGATTGTTATATTCTTAAGTTGAATACAATCAAGATAGTTTAGTGTATTGGTCATAACAGATTGCTTGCTTTGTAATAAACAAAAACCTTTAATATTCAATAACGAAAAATGTCTTAATAGGAATAATGGTGTTGACCCAGTCTTTTAGCCTGGTTAAGGGAGCCAGATGCCACGTGGCCGACCATGGTTCTAATCCCAGCCCTGGTGACTTGAAAAACACACTGAATGTGTGTGAATGCATGCCCCAAATCTCAACAGGATAGAGAAATGGTTGCGACACGACCATGTCCCACTGGGGAATGCTTTTTCCTCTCTCTTTGTTTTTTTATGGTGAGTACATGTGACCCTTTGGCAATTAAAAAAAAAAAAAAAAAGAAATAGTTGTGTTTATTTTGAAAAAATAGAAAATAGAACAACATCTCTCAGCCTATTTCTATCATGTTATAATACATAAATTACATTTATATTTGAAAGTAAGTGTACTTTTAAAAGAAACAAAATGTGCAGTACTTAAAAGTTTTATAGTAGGACGTTTTATGAGGTTAATGGGCATAAACATACATTTCGGATATATAAACATAACATATTTATGTGTCGTTTAGATTACTATAATTTATTCATTTTAAAGAAAACAGAGTCATGACTAGTATGAAATCATTCTCTTGTTTTTCTCCTTTCAAATTTTGGATTAATTTCACTTTTTTTTTTTTTTTTTTTTTTTTGAGAGGTTTTTGCTATAAGGCGTGTGCACTTACCAGAAAGAGAAGACAGAGAGACAGAAAATGAGAAATCACCCCTCAGGGTGGATGGCCACACCGCAATCCCTTTTTTGCCATTCTCCTCTCAGGATCTTGGGCACGTATGCACACACGCCCAGCATGAGTTTAAGCTGCCAGGTCCGGGACTCGAACCGCAGTCAACTACATGGGAGTCCAGCAACATAGGCCAACTGCTGGTCCTGGATTAATTTCACTTTTTAAGAAAATTATTTTTGTCACAGAAACCTTTTTGCTTTTTATTTCTTTTTAAATCTCTAAATTTTTTTCTTTTAATGACATATAGAAATTAGATCATTTTACACGTTATATAAGTGTGAGTTGTTTGATATCTTTTAGAATTTAAATCCAATGTACATCTGACTTTGCTTAGCCTCTAGGTATGAGCTGATATAAAGGATAGTGAGGGGACCAGCAGTTAGCATAATGGTTATGTCGCTGGACTCCCATGTAGTTGACCGCGGTTTGAGTCCTGGACCTGGTGGCTTAAACTCACGCCGTGTGCATGTGTGCCCAAGATCTCAAGAGGAGAATGGAGGAGAAAGGACTGTGGCATGGCCATCCCCCCTGGGGGGTGATTTCTCGCTTTCTGCTTTTCTGTCCGTCTCTGTCTTTCTGGCAAGCATACGTGCCCTATAGCAAAAAAGCCTCTCCAAAAAAAAAAGAAAAAAAAGGATAGTCAGGGGACAGCAGATGACATGATGGTTAAGACACTGAACTCCCATATGGCCGACTGTAGTTCAAGTCCCAGACCTGGCGGCCTGTTTCCTTGTTTCCCCTTCTCTCTCTCTCTCTCTCTGTCTATCTCTGATCAAATTTTAAAAAAATAATAAGGGACCAGCAGTTAGCGTAATGGCTACGTCACTGAACTCCCATGTAGTCAACTGTGGTTCGAGTCCTGGACTCGGCGGCTTAAACTCACACCATTCGTGCCCAAGATCCCAAGAGGAGAATGGAGGAGGAGGGATTGCGGCATGGCCATTCCCCCTAGGGGGTGATTTCTCGCTTTCTGTTTTTCTGTCTGTCTCTGTCTTTCTGGCAACCACACGCACCCTATAGCAAAAACCTCTCCAAAAATGTATGTAAATAAATCAAAATAATAACAACAATAAATAAAATTAAGTAAATAAATATTTTTTTTAAAAACTGATAGATTTTCTAGGTTAAGGATTGACATATCTAGGGAATGAAGAAGTCTGATAATAAGTAGCTAGACGTACAGGGCCTTAAGTCAAATAAGCCTAGTTCAGATCACTTCCAGCTTACTAGCTATGAGGTCTTATTAACTGCTGCTTCTATTAATTACCTGTACCATTTCCTAAAGTGCCCTCTTCATTTCCCCTCTGCAAATCTAAATCCTACACTCTCTTCAGAGCTTTCCTTCTCTCTAGCATCTTCCAGGAATCATTCTCTATCCATCTAGTCTGTAGAGATCTCCTGTTGTGAACTATAAAATCCTTGCGGTTGCTTCCTCAAAACTAGGGGCTAATAACACATTATCTGGTTGTCGGAAAAGTCATGATGTATTTTTCCTACGTTTTTCTGTGTAAAAATGTGTCATGACTTCCAGCAACCCATTCTATCCTGCATGTGACTCTCCTCCCATAGGAACTAGAGGCTCTCCAAAGGCTTTGTGTGTTCTCCTTTTTCTAGGCTCTCATCTCCACAGCCTCAGATAACTGTTAACAGTGTTTTCCCGTTCTTGCTTTCATGTGTAATCTCCAAAAGAATCTCCTAAAAATCTTGTGCCTAAGTCCTTGTCTTTTGAAGACTTCTTAGTTCAGCACCTTTTCTTACATATGAAAGCAAACGTTAAAAGCTTGGTCTGTTCTGCTTTACCTTTACATTTTTTACATTCTTTTTTTAATGTCTATTTTTTTAAAAGAGATTTTTGCTATAGGGCACATGTGCTCACTGGAGAGACACAGAGAAACAGAAAGTGAGAAATCACCCCACAGGGAGGATGGCCATGCCACAATCCCTTCTCCTTCATTCTCCACTCAAGATTTTGGGCACACACACACGCACACACACACACACACACACACACATGAGCCACCGGGTCTGGGACTGGAACTGCTATTGGCCATGTGGAAGTCCAGCAATGTAACCATTATACCATCTGCTGGTCTCTCATGGATGTCTATTTAGTATTTAAGGATGCTTGCTTATCCTATTTAAAACCTACCCTTGCTGCGTGATTGCCTTTAAACAGATGGTCTTGTATGGTACCCGGTGGATTGGGGAGTTAGAAAGAAAAAAGGCAGTCAGGCTGTGACAGTTACTTCACTCCAGCAAAGGAGTATGTCTCGGAAGTGAAATGCCACGTGATACAGTTAATGAACAAGGTTCTAGAATTGTGGCCTTTTCTCTCAGTGGTGAGCGTTTACCTCTCCAGTTAGCATTTCTCCAGTAAAGAGTGATGAAGTGAGCAGCAGAGACTCATGAGCTTTTAGTGCTGCCGCTGACTCTGTGTCCTGTCCGCCTGCAGTTGGTGAGCAGACAGTTGTGCGGAGCTTTCCCATTGCCTCCATCACCAAGGAGAAGAAGATCACGATGCAGAACCAGCTGCAGCAGAACATGCAAGAAGGACTGCAGATCACATCCGCATCTTTTCAGGTATTAAGGGAGGAAGGCTTTCTTCTCCAGTTCAAAAGTTTTGTACAAATCCAATGGCATAGTCTGTGCTTGTGCAACCAGAAGTTAAGAGGATGAAGATGAAAAAGATCAGAGGATAATCTCATGCATAGTCTTGGATTGAATCCCTCATTTTATGAGCCCCTTGGCTTGCTCAGAGTTTTAACAGGTTGTCTGTTAAGATTTAGTGATCTTAGAAACTCTGACACACACAATTGGCTCTTGTTCTCTGCCAGGTTCTATCTCCGTTCCTGTTCAATAATGCTATCATCTAAAAAGCAATCATCATGGCGTCTGTTTCAGAAGGAAATGCTCGATGGCTTTTCTGTGGAAGAAGTGAAATTCTTAGGAAGTATAGAGAGGGCTAAAGTACTGTTGGCACTAAGTGAATATGCCCTGATAAAGCAAGGGTATTTTCCAGGGCCTCTGAACATAGCAGAACTAGTGGATTTAATTATGTAAATAAGATATTGCAAAAGGTGACCTTTTCTTAGTTTTCCCTTTTTTAAAATTCTCAAGTTGTAACATCTTGAGTTTCCTATTCTTCATGCCTTTTCTCTAATTTCTCATATTTCCAAGAATTCCAATTCTTGCCTCATTTTTTCTAGTAAAGGGGCCTTTCCTGGTGGCACTTATGCTAATTGAAACCTGAGGCTGCTGATCTTTAGGCTTTAGACCTTCTCCCATCACCTGAGAAAATAGATTGCCAAGCTGCCTCACTCACTGTTCCAACTGTCAAGAAACTTACACTCAAATGCTGTCTGGCTATACTCGTTAGGACTCTAGTCAAACTGACATTTTTTCCTCTTCCTAGAGTTATTGTGCCTCTAGGTATTAAAGGACCTTTCCAGGCTAAATTCCCTAGTGAGAACCAACAGATGAGATATGAGAAGAGCATGTTTGCTATTTCAACCCCACAGTAAGTTAGCTCCCTCTCTTCTCTGTCTCTTAGAACAGATAGCCTTAAAGAAACTCAACTTCAAGATACATGGTTTTGCTTGCCAACTAACCATCTATGGCAAGTATGGCAGGTAAACCTTTCTGAGCCTCTTTTTATTTTTAAAGTTAAAAAAAATTGTATCACGTATTATCCATAGTACCTTCAGCCTCTAAGCTCTTGGCATTTAGTTTTGTTATTTTCCGTTATCTCAATAATGTGGGGGAAAGTTGTCTGAAAATCCCTAATGCTTCTGATGTATTTGGTCTGTTTTGTCTCTAGTTGATTAAAGTAGCATTTGATGAAGAAGTCAGCCCAGAAGTAGTAGAAATCTTTAAGAAACAGCTGATGAAGTTCCGTTATCCTCAGTCTATCTTTAACACTTTCGCTTTTGCTGCTGGACAAACTACCCCACAAATAATTTTACCCAAACAGAAGGAAAAGAACACTTCCTTTCGGTAAGAAGCAAGACAGTTCTCTCAATTTCAGCCCTCCTGTAATTGTCAGATCAAGTGACCTATGTATCAAGATATAGGTGATTGCTTCTTTGTTTGCCTGTCATGCTATTGGGCCATCTTTGATGTATGTAATAGATTTCAAAATCAAAAGTCATAAAGTCAAAAAGTTGTAAAAGACATGTCAGTTGTTCTCAATGTGTGTTTACAATGTGAAATTCTATAATCTCTGTTTCCCATATTGATCACTTCCTACCGGAACAATCTCTCCAGCTTTTCTTTTTTTTTAAGACTTGTTTAATTTTACTTATTATTATATTTTAATTTGACCAGAGAGAGAAAGAGAAAGTGAGAAAGCAAGCTGCCAGGTGTAGGACTCAAACCACGTTCAGCCATGTGGGAGTCTAGTGCCCCAATCACTATGCCACCTCTCAGCCCCTCTTCAGCTTTTCTTTTTTTTTTTTTTTTTGGGGGATTTTTAATGTTGGGGCGGTGCCGTTCCCAGA